ATAGGATTACCATAATTGTTGCTATAAAGAGTTTTTGGTTGTTTTTGTGCTTTTTTTGTATCATTAAGGTTTCACAGTAAATACGGATTGCTGAATGGTTCAATCTGCCATATTTCAGCATATTTGGCAGCTAGTCTTTACATCATCTTCACCCATAAGCTGCTGAATCAGATCACTTAGCTCTTTGTTGTGTTCTTCTCCACGCTGTGTCATTTCCTGTTGACTTTTCGCTTTTTTCATCTCCTCTTCTTGTTTTGACAGCATGTCCTTCAGTTTTCTTACATTCTCTCTTTTTCTGGTCACACATTTCACCAAGTCAGTAATTTCTTTTCTGTGTTTATTTTCATTCATCTCTTTGAGAGCCTTTAGCATATTATACTTCTCATGCTGCTGTAGCATCTGGACTACAAATTCTTTCAAATATTTTTCTTTAAACTCATTGAGCTCTTCTGCCTTTTGTCGCGCTTCCTCCTCATACTTTTCTGTTAACTTTTCTAAATCTTGCCTGAATACATCCTGCAGTTGCTGTTTATAAATGGCCTCCTTTTCTTCTCTTATTTTTTCCTCTTGCATCATTTTTGTATAATCTTCTTTTTCCTTTTCATAATCTTTTTCAAGTTTTTCTTTTTCCATTTTTCTTTTTTTGTCAACTTTTTCCCATTTCTGCCTTAAAGCTTCCTTCTCCTTCTCCAAGGCCTCGGAAGTTTTGAATTGACCTTTCGGTTGGTTTCCCATCAAAGCCTCTCTTTCCTGCTTCCATTTTTCTTGTTCTTTCTTTTTTTCTTCTTCAGTCTGGTAAATGTGTTTTTCAATCTCTTTAATTTTGTTTTCTTTCGCATTTAACTCTTTTATTTTCTTTGCTCTTTCTTCTTTCATGTCTCTTTCCATTTCATCCATTTGCTTTTGGTATCTTTCCTCCAGCTTCTTCTTTTCTTTCTCAATTTCTTCTTCTTTCTCCTTCAGGATTAGTTGAATTTGGTTCTCTATGGCTGTTACAGCCTCTTGCAGCATCTCATTGGTAAAGCATCCATTTTTAGCCACCAAGTTGTCAATCTTTCTGATCAGCTCTATAACCTGTCTGCGGTTTTGAATGTCGTTGTTGTCAAACATATGGTAACCCCCACAGTCATCAATAATCTTTTTAAGGGAGTCACCACAGTTTTTTTCCACATAATCATCTATGGACTGCTTATCCTTTAGCAAATCTCCTCTGGTAAAAAGAATGATGGTGTACTTTTCAGAATTCTTCCCAAAACCTTCTTTAATAAGTTTTAATGTCTGTTTCTCCTCTGGTGTGAGTCTTGCTCCAATTGGTACCACTACCAGGAAGACATGTGGACCCGGTGCCAGAAGGCTGATACATTTGACCAATTCTAGCTGCACTTCTTCTTGTGTTAAACTGTCGTCAAACAAGCCAGGAGTGTCCACCACAGCAACTGGACGGCCCTCCACCTCACCCAGTGATTTCTTACAGCACCTTGTCACTGAGTTTTGGCTTAAGTCAGCTTCAAACTCTTCTCTACCAAGGATAGTATTTCCTGAAGAGCTCTTCCCGCAACCAGTCGTCCCAATCAGAACTATCCGGAGGCACTCATTTGTCCACTTGTCTTTATCTCCTGTACAGAAGAACCAGAGTATCAGTTTACTCATATCTTTTTTTCTAGCAAATAGTTTCCTCCAAACAGTGATTATGGGAAAAATGCATAGAAAGTATGTGATACTAGTTTTTTTCTATTATTACTCAAGTTGCTTATTATTTCTAAATGGTGGGGGGAAAATATTGTAAAAGCTGATAAAGCCCCAGTGAGTGTTGGAAGAAGTCTGAAGAATGTTACAAAAATCAAAATTTTTCACCAAAGCTTATTTACTTATATTGCAAATGCTTCAATTGTTTAAGATCTTATTTTGCTCACTGAGGATGAGAAAAACAAAATTACCTGGAAACAAAGACAAATTCTTTCTTTTTTGAATAATCTGGTTTAGAATACGTACCGCTGCAACCACTCTGTGATGGAAGCATGGAAGATTTTGTCTGTAGTCCGGAGAAGTTTTCCTCTTGTTTTAATATTTTATCCAAGTAAGCTTCACAGAGGGTTTCTATTGTGTAGCAGCTTTGTTCCCTTTTCCCTACAAAATCTATTACTTTAGAGAACTGCTTCTTGTCACTGCTCTTGACAACAACGTATCTTTTTCCACATTTCTTAATTAGCTCCTTGATGTTCTTATCTTTTTTAAGACACTTAACCACATCTGGATGTTCAGGATCTAAATCTGTAGTGAACAGAATCATTGTGTTGTTGTTGATGCGAGAGCTGAATGTGTCCTGGATGGTCTGTAACTCTCCCTCCTCTTCATCAGTGAGGGGACCCACAGGTAGGACCAGGATGAAGGCGTGGACACCCTCAGGGTTGCAGAGAGTGATACACCTGAATGATTCCTTCATCTTTTCCTGCTGAGGTTTTCCATACAATGCAGGCAGCTCCACCAGAGAAACCCAACGTCCACACACTTCTCCCTGGTTTCTAACACACTGTGATGAGCTGGAGGCTGAAGGAAGATCTGTCTGACCTAGAATGGCCTTGGCTGCTGAGGTTTTCCCTGCTCCTCGTCTCCCACAAAGAACCAGATTTAAGGATGTTAGAGACTGGTCACATTTTGATGCTTCATCATCTTTAATGCTAAGGAAGGCGCTGCTGTTTCTTTTCACAATGTCTTCAATCTTCTCCATTAATTTCTGGTGATTATTTTCAGTCAGGTTGTACTGTCTACCCTCACATTCTTTGATTAGTGAATTAAAGGCAAAACTTGTTTCATTCCCTTCTTCAGTCATGATGACCATTGATTGCTTAAAAGCATCAATACCAAACAAATTCAGGGTTGCTTTCAGGGTCTGTCTGTTTTTCTCTGTGAATTCTGAGGGATTCACTAAGAGCAGGAGAACATTTGGTCCAGGAGGACAAAGATTGACACAGCTTCTAATGTCCTCTTTTAGGACTTTTCCCGTCTGACTTTCTGGAGGTGTCCAAATAGTTAAGAACTTTCCTTTCCATAATCCCTGCTCCACTAGATTGGTTTGATGAGACGTGGGGGAAATGTCTGAACTTGTTTTCTTCAAGATAAAGTTACAAAGATGTTTCTTGGTTGACAGAGTTGCTCCAAAGAGCATAATCCTGAGACCTCGACCTGTGAAACAACAAATATTACAATGTAATGAAAATTAACACATATGAGGTTTCTTGGAGGGCTATACCTTAAATACCTAAAGCTGTTAATTAATTTGCTCTCTTCCACTCTGTCATTATTTGCATCTTTTTAATAAGGCTCCTCCAGGCTGAGTTAGGGTCAGTCAACGTCCCTACATGTCCATATAATGATTACACAAAATTATTTATTTTTGCTATCATATATTTTGCTAATTTTTAAGGGGAGAGATCACAAACCAGAGACAAACTCTCAGTGCATGAGCTTAACATAATATAACATAAAAAATATTGTTTGGTCTACTTGCTCTGATAAAGTACCTTAAAAGATTCAAGCTGAGTAGAAGATGATCAGATATGTGGAAGTTTGAACAAAACTTATAACCTAATCATATTTTTCTATAATCTTGGCTGAGGTAAAAGCTTAAAATAATGTGTCTTCTCTTCACCGACAGCTAAACCTCTTTTCCATTTTGGTCAAGGATCTTCAGTCTAATTCATTGTTCAAGTATTTGCAAAATATGGGAAGTATGCACTAACACAATCAATCAGCTATTATCCAAACCTATTTTTTCACTAAATGACCACGTTATTTTTTTCTATTTTATTAGACTACATCCTTATATATTGTACAACTTTGCAATATCAAATTATATATATTTTCCGCTAATGACAGAAGTAGGATTTGCTACATTTGCAAGTGGCTTCTCACTATCCAGGAGACACTGGTTAAATTTTTGGTGATTTAATCAAAAGGATTTGCAGATAGTGTGCTCTATGTAAGATCAAGCTACTATTAAATTAACACCTGGAACAGAAAATGCATACAACACTCAGAAAGGAGGTTAGGTAATATGTTACTGCTTGAAACTCTTCTAACAGTAAGACATGCGTTCTGTTCAAGAACATGACCCCTGCATAACCCTTTCCATGACCCCTGCTCAACCAGTTTGGCTTGATGAGATGTGGATGAAATGTCAAAACTTGTTTTCTCTAAGATAAAGTTACAGAGCTGTGTCTTTCTTGAAAGAGTAGCTCCAAAGAGCATAATCCTGAGACCTTGACTTGTAAAACAACAATTGTTAAAATATAATGACAATTAATATATATGAGGTTTTTAACACTTTGGAAGGCTTTACTTTAATACCTAAAGTTGTTTAATGAATTTGCTCACTTCCGCTCTGTAATTTTACACTCAGACTTTAAATTCAAAAGTTCCTATGTTATCTAACCCGACTCCGCCAGATGGATTCCTTCCGTTGAAGTAATTTTGGGAAGGGGCGAAAATACTGGTTAGCTGATTGGCCTATGTTGGTGATAGACGGGCCAAATAAAC